CATGTAAGCCCAGGGGTGTCAAACTGCTGGCCCGCAGGCCGGTTGCATCATGCGGAGGCTGCATCCATCCCAGCTCCAGCAATGCAAAAAAAGTTGTGATATGTCACAACACGACACGTCACGTGGCGAGTTTGACACCCATGATGAAGCCATTCAACAAATTCCTATGCTTAACCTAATTTTCACAAATGTGAATGAATGTATCATTTTTTTAAAGCAGTAATGCATTCATTTAGTTTTGAATATACTAAAAAGTCTGGTTACAAAATATTTATCAATACATATTTTAGTGAACATAGCCCATTATTTGCTTAAGGAATAAGCTTTAAATTTCCCGTTATAGCTGCATGAAATCATTTTCAAACGAAATTTAAAGTATGCTTTTACTTACTGATTAAAGCAAGCATGTCAAACTGCTGGCCCATGGGCCAGATGCGTCATGCCGAAACTGCGCCCACCCCATTGCCGGTAATGGGGAAAAAGTCGCAATATGTCATGCAGCGTCATGTGACATCGCGAGTTTGACATGCCTGGATTAAACCCTGACTCCCTATTAATTAGTTTTAACAGCTGCAATATATGATTCTGAATAATGTAATCACTTTGTAAAGTATAATACAGGATATCTACAGAGAGAAAAGGCCAGGAAGTTCCCATCTGTGGTTGTTTTTGTTACCATTATTTAACGCTATCCCATATCTTAAACTAGGTGGCACAAAAATACTTTTGCAGTATATTATTTGTAATTTCTCCATCCCCTCATAGGTATTCAAATGTTTTTAAGGTAATGGAGAATTGGTAACTGTAAAAAGAAAAAATGAAGTATTTTACCCACTACTTCTCCCCTGCCAAGGATTGCGTCCCTCTGTAATCCCACAGCAACATTAACAATGTAAGATTTGGGGAGTGCAATGCATTGTTGTTGTTGTTGTTAATTGCGAAGTCGTGTCCAACCTATCGCGACCCCATGGACAACGTTCCTCCAGGTCTTCCTGTCCTCTACCATCTTCTGGAGTCCATTTAAGTTCACACCTACTGCTTCAGTGACTCCATCCAGCCATCTCATTCTCTGTCGTCCCATTCTTCTATTGCCCTCAATCTTTCCCAGCATTAGGCCCTTCTCCAGTGAGTCCTTCCTTCTCATTAGGTGGCCAAAGTATTTGAGTTTCAACTTCAGGATCTGGCCTTCTAAAGAGCAGTCGGGGTTGATCTCTTCTAGGACTGACCGGTTTGAACGCCTTGCAGTCCAAGGGACTCGCAGGAGTCTTCTCCAGCACCATAGTTCAAAGGCCTCAATTCTTTTGCGCTCAGCCTTTCTTATGGTCCAACTTTCACAGCCATACATTGCAACTGGGAAAACCATGGCCTGGACTATACGCACTTTTGTTGGCAGGGTGATGTCTCTGCTTTTTAGTATGCTGTCTAGATTTGCCATAGCTTTCCTCCCCAGGAGCAAGCGTCTTTTAATTTCTTGGCTGCAGTCCCCATCTGAGGTGATCTTGGAGCCCAGAAAAATAAAATCTGTCACTACCTCCATTTCTTCCCCATCTATTTGCCAGGAATTGAGAGGGCCGGATGCCATGATTTTGGTTTTCTTAATGTTGAGTTTCAAGCCTACTTTTGCACTCTCCTTCTTCACCCGCATCAAGAGGCTCTTTAGTTCCTCTTCACTTTCTGCCATTAAAGTGGTATCATCTGCATATCTTAGGTTGTTGATATTTCTCCCGGCAATCTTAATTCCAACTTTTGATTCATCTAGCTCTGCCTTTCTCATGATGTGCTCTGCATATAAGTTTAATAGGCAGGGCGACAGTATACAGCCTTGCCGGACTCCTTTTCCAATTTTGAACCCATCAGTGGTTCCGTGTCCAGTTCTCACTGTTGCTTCTTGACCCGCATATAGGTTTCTCAAGAGACAAATGAGATGGTCTGGTACTCCCATCTCTTTAAGAACTTGCCACAATTTGTTGTGATCCACACAATCAAAGGCTTTTGCATAGTCAATGAAGCAGAAGTAGATGTTTTTCTGGAACTCCCTAGCTTTCTCCATGATCCAGCGTATGTTGGCAATTTGATCTCTAGTTCCTCTGCCTCTTCGAAATCCTGCCTGTACTTCTGGTAGTTCTCGATCTACATACTGCTGGAGTCTAGCTTGTAGGATTTTAAGCATAACTTTACTAGCATGTGAAATGAGTGCAATGGTGCGATAGTTTGAACATTCTTTGGCATTGCCTTTCTTTGGAATTGGAATGTAAACTGACCTTTTCCAATCCTGTGGCCACTGTTGAGTTTTCCAAATTTGCTGGCAAATTGAGTGTAGCACTTTTACTGCATCGTCTTTTAAGATTTTGAATAGCTCAGCTGGAATACTGTCACCTCCACTAGCTTTGTTGTTGCTCAGATTTTCTAAGGCCCATTTCACTTCACATTCTAGGATGTCTGGTTCGAGGTCAGTGACCATCTCATTGTGGTTATCTGGGATGTTAAGCTCACTCTTGTATAGTTCTTCTGTGTAGTTTTGCCATCTCTTCTTAATCTCTTCTGCCTCTGTTAGGTCTCTGCCATTTTGGTCCTTTATCATGCCCATCTTTGCATGAAACGTTCCCTTCATATCTCCAATTTTCTTGAAGAGATCTCTGGTCCTCCCTATTCTGTTGTTTTCTTCTATTTCTTTGCACTGTTCATTTAAGAAGGCATTCTTATCTCTTCTAGCTACTCTCTGGAATTCTGCATTCAATTGGGTGTATCTTTCTCTTTCTCCTTTGCCTTTCGCTTCCCTTCTTTCCTCAGCTATTTGCAAAGCTTCCTCAGACAGCCATTTTGCTTTCTTGCATTTCTTTTTCTTTGGGATGGTTTTAGTTGCTACCTCTTGTACAATGTTGCGAACTTCCATCCATAGTTCTTCAGGCACTCTGTCTATCAGATCTAATTCCTTAAATCTATTTGTCACCTCTACTGTATATTCATCAGGAATATGATTTAGTTCATACCTGAGTGGCCTAGTGCTTTTCCCTACTTTTTTCAATTTAAGCCTAAATTTTGCAACGAGAAGCTCATGATCTGAGCCACAGTCAGCTCCTGGTCTTGTTTTTACTGACTGTATAGAGCTTCTCCATCTTTGGCTGCAGAGCACATAGTCAATCTGATTTCTATGTTGACCGTCTGGTGATGTCCATGTGTAGAGCCGTCTCTTGGGTTGTTGGAAAAGAGTGTTTGTTATGACCATCGTATTCTCTTGACAAAATTCTATTAGCCTGTGCCCTGCTTCATTTTGTACTCCAAGGCCAAACTTGCCTGTTATTCCGGTTATCTTTTGGCTTCCTACCTTAGCATTCCAATCCCCCATGATATAAGGACATCATTTTTTGGTGTTAATTCTATAAGGTGCTGTAGGGCTTCATAAAACTGGTCAATTTCATCCTCTTCAGCACCAGTGGTTGGGGCATAGATTTGGACTATTATGATATTGAATGGTTTGCCTTGGATTCGAATTGAGATCATTCTGTCATTTTGGGGATTGTATCCCAGTATTGCTTTTCCTATTCTTTTATTGACTATGAAGGCTACTCCATTTCTTCTGAGGGATTCTTGCCCACAGTAGTATACCTGATGGTCATCTGAGTTAAATTCACCCATTCCTGTCCATTTTAGTTCGCTGATTCCTAAGATGTCGATGTTCAGTCTTGTCATCTCTTTTTTGACTACGTCTAGCTTGCCTTGATTCATGGATCTTACATTCCAGGTTCCTATGGAGAAAAAATCTTTACAGCATCGGACTTTCCTTTCACCACCAGATATATCCACAGCTGAGCGTCCTTTCGGCTTTGGCCCAGTCGCTTCATTCTTTCTGGCGCTACTAGTACTAGCCCTCTGCTCTTCCCCAGTAGCATATTGGACACCTTCCGACCTGAGGGGCTCATCTTCCAGCGTCATATCTTTTTTCCTTTTAGTACTGTCCATGGGGTTTTCATGGCAAAGATACTGGAGTGGTTTGCCATTTCCTTCTCCAGTGGATCACATTTTGTCAGAACTCTCTGCTATAACCTGTCCATCTTGGGTGGCCCTGCACGGCATAGCTTATAGCTTCATTGAGTTACGCAAGCCCCTTCGCCACGACAAGGCAGTAATCCATAAATGCATATAGGCTATCTAAATGTAGAACAGATGACTGTTCACATTTTGAAATACAATTGATGTATAAGAGGAAATTCTTCTGGGGCCATTAAATCCAGAACATGAAATTACTTAATTCTGAGATCCAGAAAATAGCAATAGCACTTAGATTTACAGCCCTCTTTAAGTGGTTTACAGAATCAACACATTGTCCCCAACAATCTGGGTCCTCATTTTACCCACCTCAGAAGAATGGAAGGTTGTGTGAACCTTGAGCTGGTGAGACTCAAACTGCCGAACTGCTGGCAGTCGGTAGTCAGTAGAATTAGCCTGCAATACTGCATTCTAACCACTGTGCCACCACAGCTCTATAAATTTACCAGTCAGATTTATCATAAAAATTGTGAATTAAGTTAAAATAAATTCAGTTATACCACATACATACACACTACTGCCCTGAAATTTGAAGAATAGGCTACAAATTGAATAAATATTACATTAAAATGTGTTACATATTTGTCTACCCATTCTTGGAGAAAAAACTTTTTTCATGAATTTTTTTTGGGTGCAACATGCTCTTTTCAGTTTTCAAAAATAGGTGAATGCATTATAGATACCTGATCTAACTCTGCAGTTTTCAGTTGTTCATATCAGCAATTCACAGCAAACACCTTGTCATAAACATTTTAAAAGGTCAAAGAGATTGCAATACTTTGGCTAAAGAGATAAATGGTCAAATAAAACTTCACACTGTTAATTCCCAGATGACAAATGAGACATACATCCAATCAATAAGGACGCCAGAAGCATTCTGGGAAAGAGGGCAGGGTCAGCCTTGAAGTGTTAATAACTTGTTCACATCATTTGGCTTCAATTCACTATGTGACTTAGCAAGTAGCAAAACTGTTTTATTAGCAGATCAGGACTGATATCAGGCAACAAACAGAGAGGAGTTAGGAAAAAATACTAGCAGAACAGAACAGAAAGAACAAGTAAGTTTTTTTACATTTACCTTTCCAACTGGATCAGATACTTTTTCTGTATTTTTCTGAATGTTAGTTCAGAATGGGTGCCCCAGATCTTAATCTCTGCTGCAAGTTACAGTTTTAGTTAAAATGCAGATGAATATTGTCATTTTTTCTAACATACTTTTTTCAAATATGTACAAATATGTCATATTTATGTTTATTGATATTTTGTTATTGGAGTCATTTTGTAATTCAGCATGGTAAAACTATATCCATCTCATAAACATTGGCAGAATCAACAGTAGTACTGACTAAACATTATAACCTGCATATATTGTTTTACTGTATCAGCTAGTATGCCTAGCAAGTTAGAATCATAAAATTACACAATCATAGTTGGAAGGAATCCCAGAGATCATCTAGCCTAATCCTAATGTTTGATATAGGAACTAATAAATATTTTGGACAAATAGTTTTCTAGCCTTTGCTTGAAGACCTTCTGTGAAAAGAAACATACCATTTGATGTGGAAACCTATTGACAATTCTCACAGGAAATTCCTCATATATCTAACCTGCACCTGTCATTTCAACTTGCTGCACCGGCTTGTTCCAGTGACAGAAGAAATCCATTTCTTCCTTTCGATGACAAAAGATCGTGATTACATCTCCTTTTGATCTTTTCTTTTGCAAGATAAACATATTCAGTTCTTTTAACTGCTCATCATAAAACTAGTTTTCTAGTCGTCTCATTACTCTGGAGGCACTTTTATTTTGTTGTACTTTATAAAAGTCTATTTTGATCTACAGCAGGGATGTCAAACTGCCGGCCCGCAGGCCGGATGCATCATCAGGAAACCACGCCTACCCCATTACCAGCAATGGCAAAAAAGTTTCGGTACGTTACACGATGTCGCGTGACGTCGCAAGTTTGACATGTCTGGTCTACAGTATCCAAAAGTAGGTTCAAGACTGGGACTTGACTAAAGCAGCTGTGATGGATTGCAGTAGAATGGATTTCCAGGAGGGAGGGAAAAAATAAGAGACAATTCAGTTCAGATCATATGTGTGAGAAAAAGAAGGTAAACACAGCTCCTCCCTAATAGTTCTCAAAATATACGGTAGTACAGGTAGTCATCTAAGTACAACAGTTCATTTAGTGACTGTTCAAAATTACAATGGCCCTGAAAAATGTGATTTATGACCATTTTTCACAGTTACAACTTTTGTTGCATCTCCATAATGATCACATCCATGTGATCAAAATTCAGATGCTTGGCAACTAGTTCATATTTGTTAGAGAATTTTAATTTCTCTATTGGTGAAAAAATAAATCAGAAGCTTTCACAGTTGACTGCATTTAGCTGATTCAAAATAACTTCTTTATATTCATATAAAGGCATTTGACAAAGTAGATCACAACCTACTACTTCACAAGATCGAAACATGTGGGGTAGACAGCATCACCATCAGATGGATCCGTAGCTGGCTGACCGGCCATACTTAGTGTGTGGTCCTCAATGGAACCGCATCTCCATGGAGGGAAGTGTGTAGTGGGGTGCCCCAGGGCTCTGTTCTGGGCCCAGTGCTCTTCAAAATCATCAACGATTTGGGCGAGGGGATAGATGGGGAACTCATCAAATTTGCAGACGACACCAAGCTGGCAGGAATAGCCAACACTCCAGAAGACTTAAGATACAGAAAGATCTGGACAGACTTGAACAAAATGAAATTCAGTGGTGAAAAAAGCAAGGTTCTGCGTTTAGGCAAGAAAACCAAATGCACAGGTATAGTATAGGGGGTACCTTGCTCAATAGTAGTAACTGTGAGAGGGACCTCAGAGTCCTAGTGGACAATCACCTAAATATGAGCCAGCAGTGTGCTGCAGCTGCCAAAAAGGCCAACACAGTGCTAGGCTGCATGAACAGAGGGATAGAATCAAGATCACGTGAAGTGTTAATACCACTTTATAATGCCTTGGTAAGGCCACACTTGGAATACTGCATCCAGTTTTGGTCACCGCGATGTAAAAAAGATGTTGAGACTCTGGAAAGACTATAGAGAAGAGCAATAATGATGATTAGGGGACTGGAGGCTAAAGCATATAAGGAACGGCTGCTGGAATTGGGTATGTCTAGTTTAATGAAGAGAAGGACGAGGGGTGACATGATAGCAGTGTTCCATATCTCAGGGGCTGCCACAAAGAAGAGTGAGTCAAGCTATTTTCCAAGAAGCCTGAAGGCAGGACAAGAAGCAATGGGTGGAAACTAAGCAAGGAGAGAAGCAACCTAAAACTAAGGAGAAACTTCCTGACAGTTAGAACAATTAACCAGTGGAACAATCTGCCTCCAGAAGCGGTGAGTGCTCCAACACTGGAAATTTTTAAGAAGAGACTGGACAGCCATTTGTCTGAAATGGTATAGGGTTTCCTGCCTGAGCAGGGGGTTGGACTAGATGACCTCCAAGGTCCCTTCCAACTTTACTATTATTATAATTATTATTATTATGGATCATCGCACAGTCAGCCAGATGTTCAGACTGGATTTGGCATTTTGTCTACCTATCGAGTCCTGGGATAGGCAGATGTGGATGTTTGATGGTATTACAGGTATTGTCACAGGATGGAAGCAGTTCCTAGTAAAGCCGCCTTTTGCAATTGACTAATAGCGAATTTGTCAATGCCAATGGTGTTCAAGTGGTGCTCCAGTTGTTTTGGGATTGCACCCAAGGAGCCTATTACTATTGGTACTACCCTTGCTTGCCTTTTTATTATTATTATTATTATTATTATTATTATTATTAGTAGTAGTAGTAGTAGTAGTAGTAGTAGTAGTAGTAGTAAAACCCTTGGATCGAGCCTAACTTTTATTTGAGTTAATGTTAATCCACTGTTCTGAAATCCAATATTCAAGTCTGACTCTCCTCCATTCTTTTTTCTGTTGATACTAAGAAACTGAAATTTAAGAAATTGAAGATTAACAGGGCCATATTCTCTCAGGGTTCCAGTATCTTCGCTTCTTTGACAAATGTCTCCCTATTGGTTAGAATTAGTTCCAGCAGAGCCTCTTGCTCCAAAGCCTTTCCTAATAAATGTAAAACATTCCCAGCATTGTTTTTGCCAAAGCCGTGTTGTATTTTTCAGACAAAGCCCTATTTCCTGGAATCTATATTTAGGAAATTATTCCCTGTAATTTTTTCCCCATTTTTGTTCTCATTATAGGGTTGGAGATTAGTGGTAAAACACATTCTGTGCAGATGCTTTGTGGATCAATTTAAGTTATTTCTTATTAAAAGGACCCTAAATTAGCTAAAATGACAAGTTTCTCTGCCTAAGCTTCTGGGAAGAAACTGTCAATCAAGGGTGGGCACCTTGGAGCTTGTTGAATAAATAGTCTGATATCCTGTTAGGATGGTACTTATGCTGTGTACACTGTTGGTCTTTTGCATGGTCTTTTACTTTAAGTCTGACAGTTAGAACAATGTGGAACAACCTGCCTCCAGAAGCTGTGAATGCTCCAACACTGGAAGTTTTTAAGAAGAGACTGGGCAGCCATTTGTCTAAAATTGTATAGGGTTTCCTGCCTGAGCAGGGGGTTGGACTAGATGACCTCCAACTTTATTGTTGCTGTTTTTGATGCTGTTGTTGTTGTAATGTCTCATATCCAGTGCATAATTTAAACCTATGAAGAAGACAGCAATAGCTTTCTGGTACTAATGTGCATGTGGAGATAAATACATCTATGTCCCACATCTATGAAAAGTTTGCAGGGGTATCTACATTGTCTGATAAACAAAAATCAAGATGGCAGTCATGACAAGGTATTCAAAGCTCTGCCTTTTTTTATGTGCAACACCCATAAGAAAAGGGTAAACATTTGGTGGCAAGTAAGACCATTTGTGTCAGCTCTCTACAATGCCTCCTACATAAGGTAGTTTTAGATAAATGAATACAGTGGGAAACAATCAATGTGATAATAAGGGAGGAGGAAGCCATGGTGTGTATGAGTCTTAGGTGATGTTTCAAGTACACAAATGTTCCTAATTTAATTTTGAAATGTCAGAAGGAGCAGAATTGATTTTCCCTCTTCATTAAGAAAATTATGACCATGCGCTATAATAGTGTTGTCCCTCAAAATCAATAGGGTGCAAATGAAAATTAAAGTGAAAGATGATTCATTAACTACCCTGTGCTGATTAAAAACTAGCCACACTTAGGAATATGTACCTTATTGTAGTTTTTCCATTTTTCTTGTTCTTTTGCTGTCCCGGGGGGCCATGATTGAGACATTGATAATACTGGGGAAAGGGTTGAACTTTTTCTTTATGTTTTAGATGGCTTTTGGAGGGTTGAAGTTGCAAAAGAAATACTTTTGAGCTCCAAGAAGTTTTAACATACCTATTTTGCATATTTTTTAATTAAAATTGGTAGTTTTGCGAGGTAATATCAGCACTTGTGCCACTGAATTACAGCAGCATGATCAGGAAATCACTGGGGGGGGGGTAAAGTGCTCCCTTTGCTCTCTGTGTAGTGAGATATATTATTTTATGTTATATGAATTATGATCCTCTGACACAAGATATCAATATGGCACCTGAGATACAATGATGGTTGAACATTATTCAGAAAATTCAGTTCCAAATACCCTGTTTTTTCTCACTTTCTTGGATAGTCTAGTTTTCATAGCTGTGCCTCTGGATATAATCATACAAAACAGAAGTATAAGATTATGTTCTGCAATCACAACACCCACAAATTGTCTGGCAGCACAAAATAGAGTTTAGGGACTATTATGGGACTTCCCTGGTGTTGATACTGAGGTTAGAGAATTTACTTCTAAGAAAAGTAATCTAACTTCTCCATTATTAATTTTTAAGAACCAAGGATGTATTTCTTCCATAGAGAGTTAGGATTTTTTATTAGCTATTCATATGTTTACACAGAAATCTTATTATAGCAGTTCCCCTGTTTCAATAGTCTCACATAGTTACTAGCAGGTTTTGAATTTGTTCCAGCTGTACATTATCT